ACCTATATCCACTACTGTGTAAAACGAGCTACACCTGGTTACCATTAAAAAATAGAGTGCCTTTTCCAAAAGATCTTCCTTTATTTTTTTGAGTATTTTCTTGCTGTCCTCATACAGAGGTATTAATATGTTGCTACTGAATTATGTAAAGAACTGAAGCACTTGGAAGCAGGGAGCTCCTACTTATGTGACACTGCATTTTCACAGTGTTTTCCTTGGAAGAGCTATTAATTAACAGGGGAGAAAAAAAAAAAAAAAAAGGATGTAAGGATAAGAATTGGTTAGTAGATGTAATAAATACATTTTCAATTTTGGAAAACTTCTTAAGACTCTTTCCTTTTCATACACATTTTGAGTGGCTTTTTTTGTTGTTGTTGTTTCTTTAAAAAACGTCCAAATTCTATTTATGTTTTTGTAACCAAAACTAAGAAGCAAGGGGAAAAAGATACTTTTGAGAGATCTATTTCCTATTTTTTTGGAAGTGAACACATTTAATCATACCCAGTTTGGTAGACAGCAGAAAAAGCTACACCCCTGTGCAATTCTGATTAAATCAGTGAAGTTGTCCTTAAATAAAAAAAAAATCCAACATTTGCATTATATACTTGAATAGGATACAGACAATGGCCACAGATTTTAGTAGTCTAAAAGACTAGGTGTGAAAGTCAGAGTGAGTTTCTGTGTATGTACCCTGCTATGGACCAGGTACTTGAATGGTACAGAATAGTTTGAAAGTAGTTGTTTTGAACATTATTTGCATTCCTCCCCAAAATTAGGAATTCAGTGTTTTGCTTTTTGCCTGATGGCAAATACTTTCTTCATATGGCATGGCTTGCCCAGCACTGAGGAATCAGGAGGCAGGGAATCAATTTTTTATTCAGGTAGATAGTGATAAGACAAGGGAAAATGATTTCAAGCTCAAGGGGGAAGGTTTAGATTGGATATCAGGGGGAAGTTCTTCACACAGAGAGTGGTGAGGTGCTGGAACAGCTGCCCAGAGAGGTTGTGGGTTCTCCATCCCTGGAGGTGTTCAAGGCCAGATTTGATGGGGCCCTGGGCAGCCTGGTCTAATATTAGTTATGGAGGTTGGTGGCCCTGCCTGTGGCAGAGAGGCTGGATCCTTGGGGTTCCTTCCAACCCAAGCCATTCTGTGATTCTGTGATCAGCATTGGGCAAGCCCTCTCCTGATGGAAAACCAGTGAGACCTCACAAACTGTAATATTATCTTGTACTGGTTGTGTTCAGCTCTTGGCTTGGCCAGGCCACCTCCCATTGTTTGATTTCTATGTGGAGGTAAATAGCCTTACTGTGGCTGTAAGGGAATGCGGAGATTTTCGTTACAGTCTTTGGTTTTTCAGGTAGAAAAAAAAATCCCCTAAAGGAAAATTTTTGAATTCCTTGTCTCACCCCTTCCTGTTTCTCTTTCTTGACATCCGTGTTCAGGTACATTTCAATCTTGAACAGCACATGAGGAAAGTAGTGAATTTTTTGGTTGTGAAAGTCTGTTGTAGTCAATATTAATTAAAATAGCTGCACCAATCATATTATATCAAAGTGCAATATTATTTTAAAAGTGAAGCTTCTAGTTGAAGTAAGATGAGTACTCAGCTCTTGCCAAGGAGAGGTTTTCTCATTGTAATGTTTCTTGTGATGCTGCTATGTTTCTGCATTGTGTGGTTTCGGGTTTTTGCATGTCTTTTAGCAAAAATGTTAGGATTTTTCTACTCATCTCCTTTTCCGTATTTACTTTTCTACAGCCTTTCTGCCCAGCATATATCCTTACACCTTCCAAGACTTTTCCTTTCCAGTTCCCGGAAGGAAGCAGCATGTCTTTGCCAAAGCCTTTTCCAGCACTGTTCCCCAGTGTCACTCTATCTGTGGCAGTGCAAGGCACAGTAAACAATGTCCATCTCCCTGTCAGAAGGGGCTCCTATGTCTGTGCCTTCTCTCTTGTTCACACTCTTCCTACAGGTTGTTCAAACTACCTGGCTGATTTTTCTGTAGATTATGCTGAAAGCTGAAGGAGTACTTTCTAGCAAAGCTGGAACTGTTTCTGCTACAGATGTCTCTTGGAAGGTAGGTAATGTGTGTCAAGGTGTAAGGCAGTTGTCTTGGGAGAATTGGTGCTCCAGAATAAAAGTAAGCACGCCTCTAGCGAGTGCATCAGAATTAATGAACATGGTCAGATGCCCGTGAGGCTCCGACTCACTGCCCGTAAAGAGCTCTTACGCAGTGGGCATGCGAGAAAATGACGTGCAGCCAAAGTCCTCGATGAAGGCGATCGTGTATGGTGACCTGCCTACCGAAGTGTTCCATTCTTGTGCTCCTTGAGGGACTTGTCTCCAAGGTGCGGCTCAGATGCTGACCCCCTCCTTTCCCTCCCCTTTTTGGCATCTTTCTGGGTGAAACAGTTACCTCAGCTCAGTCCCAAGAGAAAGCATTTTTCACAGGGCAGGTTTCCCCTGGGGAACATTCTTGCCTCTTGTATCATCGGGACATGCCCCTGCTCAGAGGGAAGGAGGAGCTCCTCCATGATTGAGCTATCTCATCCATCATGCTCCAAATCCATCCCGGACCAGCCCATCCCTAATTAGGGCAGCACTCACCTGAAACACCATTTGCATAGATGACCTCTGTGCTGTGCCCCCTCACAAAGCACCCCGCTGCCCCAGGGCCACAGCAGAACCTCTGCCCTCTGAAGTGCTGGACCTGTTGTGCCACACCACTCCTTTCAGGGCATGCTTAATGCACTTTGGGGGCCAGTGTTTGCAGGGGTACTGGGCACTTTCCCCCCCACTCCAGGCCTCAGGAATTGCTGTGTTTACTTGGGAGGCATATAATAATCTTTTTTTCCCTGCTATAACAATTGAGCGAAACCCCCAGAAATGCTTGAGGCTGTCTAAATGCAGCTGTTGGGCTGCAGACGTGTGGCGTTTCTGCATTTTTTTAATCAAGGTGAGAGCACAGCATGCCAGCGTATCCTCCCTTTCTTCCCTTCCACTGCACTCTCTGTTTCTTGGAGTGCTTGAGCAAAGCCACAAGACAGACTCGGAACCCTCCCTCTCTGAGTCAGAGCAGCCACCGTCAGGAGCCTGCCCGCGAGACATGGCCGCAGGCCCTGCGCTGCGCACTGTGCTCACTCTCGCCAGTTGCACCAAAGCACTTCGGTGTTTATGGGACTGGGGCAGATGTGTGAGAGGGCCTATGGGTTCCCTGAGGGAACTGGCAGCAGCCACATCTTCCATGGGCAGGCAGGGAAATGTTCTTCCCCACATCAGAGGGCCTTAAGAAATGTGCCAGAAATGAATTAAATCATAGCATTAATGGGCTATAAAGAAAAATTAACCCACATTGCTAACACAAGGTCTGCATGTGATTCCATTCACACCCACTGTCTGAGGCCAGGAGAGGGACTGGAGAGATGCTTTTGACAGGGCTCTCCAGATGTCTTTTCAGGGCTAAAGTGATCAGAACTGGGTCTCAATTTATTAAGAGTTGCTGAAGATTTTTTTTCTACATGTTAGCAGAAATGGAAAGCTACAGAGCAGAGGCAGGAGGACAGTCACATGGGTGTATGGACTTGTGAGTCACTGGGTTGAGCCTCGGACCAAAGAGATTTTGAATGGCTGGCAGGAAGGTGACGAGGTAGAGGAGGTTCAGTCGCTAGGATGGGGCTATGAGGGAGCACTGCCAATATGGGGATGGGTGACTAATGGGGATAATCACTGCAGGATACTATAGGTGCTGAAAGTAGCATTTGCTCAGCAGCTGTGTGGAGGTGGTAGTCAGTACAAGGTGCTGGATCTCCTGAGGGATACCTTCCATAGCTTTCTTTAGTGAGATGAAAATTAAGGGAAGAAACTGGGTTACTCATGGTGTTCGCTGAAGGAGAGGAACCAGTGCAACCAATCCTGTCTCTGGATTTTATTAACTGTACTGCTTCTCTTGTCCTAGCCCCATCACCCACCATTCTGACTTGCAGAATTCTTTGCAAAAGCTAGTCAAAGGTGCCTTTGCTATTTTTCCCCCTCAAGCAAAGCTGGATCCTCAGCAAAGGTAAGACATCTGATTGGTGGTGGTCATAGAGAACATAACTGATTTAGCCTCACTTGCTTCAAAAGGAAGTTGCTCTCTGACAGCAGTGGCAAACTACCATAGAGGAAAACAACACAGAAGGCTATTTCTAGTTATTACTTCTATCCCAAATCACCTTTCCCTTTCAAAGTCTATTAAACCCAAAGGGAAACACCTATGAACCGTTTGTGCTTCAGAGAGCCTGAATAGTCACAAGGAAGGGATATGAGTTAAACTACCACACTGGCAAGTGATTCCAGTAGTGACCCCTCCCTCCAAAACACTTCAGTACAAAGACAGCATTGCTGGCATGCAGCATGGTGAGTGCTCTATACATTTCATAGTGAAATCACTTTTTATGGGTGGCAGAAAAGATAATGGTAGCTGGAGGACGTACAGCTTCCTTCAACAATACTTGGCATGAAACAAAGGAGCCCATCGACATAATGTTTTCAATTTATTTATATAAACAACTGCATTTTAAAAAACCATTCTTGTCCTATAAAAATAGAGTGAAAAACAATTCACAGAATTTTAAATAAATAATCTCAAACATACACATTTATCACGATCAACTTGAACCCAGCCAAACCCAGCAGGTTGGGTCACAGATAAACATGGCTTCAGAGTACAAAGCGTAGAGTGAACTGGATTGAGTGAACTGGATTCCTTTCCAAAGCAGCTTGTAAGAACAAGGCTGAAATGAACTTTTTTTTTTTTTTTTAAATGAATTCTTTTTTACCTACCTCAAAATAACTAGATCTGCCCAGACTTGTCTCCCTTTGATTTTAAGCCATACAATTTTCCTTGCGAATGGTACGTAAGTGCTCTAAAGCATGTTCCAAAGTGGTCTGAATGATAGCTACATACTTAACCAATAATTAAGTAGCTTTCATTAGTTGAACACAGTACTGCCCCCCCCCCCCTTTTTTTTTTGTTGTAAGGTTATTGAATTTTCTTCCTTCTTTGTGCCTCAAATATGAAAACAAAACACCCTTCCATCTCCCAAAGCATTCATACCAAGGACCACCTCAAATCAGTCACTAGTATCAATTGCTGTAGGAGATCTGAAGTCAGCTATTTGTGCTACCAGTTACAAGTTTGCACTGTAGAACATGATCAGCATCTTTAAACAAATCAATAAAAATACAGAAGTCACAGTCAAACTATACTAGTACCACAGTCATTACAACACAAGCCTCTACAAGCATTCAAGAGATTCAGACAGAAATATAAAACAAGTCCTTTTCCACAAGAGGCCAAGGAATTTTGGCTGGGGACATAGAATACCAGGTTGCTGCTCTACTCCAGTCTGAAGTAACATTCTTTTTATCTACAGTTCCCCAGCTGATTTTATGGGAAGATCATCTTCTACATTTCCTCTCTAGAAATTAAAAAAAGATACCCTTATATGCAAAGGTTGAAGTGCTGGTACAAGATCCCACTTAAGTTCTTATGTGCCCCCATGAGACTAGATACTTTAGTGCTGGACCAGGACAAATGTGTCTGGGATATTTTGTGCTTAGCTAGCTATTATTTTTTTCTCCTTAGAGCTCAAGCCACTCCTTTAAAATGCCTCTGTTTATACTGTAATAAATAAAACATTAATATCCCCCCTCCAACCAAATAAACAATTTACAGTCATGAGCTAGACCTCTATTTACGTAGACGTAGACTAACAAAGCCTTGGTGCCTTGAAGTTCAGCTCACTCAGTGCTACTTATGTTTATATAGTGTCCCAATTTTTTTTTTTTTAATTCTCTAAATTATTCCCCGATAATTTCCATTTGGCTACATAAAACTATATTATAGTCATGTCCTTAAGGACAAAAGGAATGTATAGTTTTATCTAGAATGACAGATTTATACCATCCAGAGTATTTATATTGACCAGACAATTACAGCTACAAAAAAAAAAAAAAAAAAAGCAACCCCACACTAATAGACTTTGGATTAAGATCTCCAAAAACTTGCAAAGTAAGATGTCTACTGATATACAAGCAGCCTTGTTTTCCTGCCTGACAGTCGTGTCTAAGCTCAGTACCACTGTTAACATCATCTCACATAAATAATACTTCTGCAACACATGCTTCAAAAACAGGTAGCATCTCAGACGAGTTCTATTATCCTTAAATAATTAAATTAATAATTAAATTAAAAATGATGAAAAAGTATAATGCCACACAAAAGGACAGACTTACAAAAAAAAAAAATCAATCATGTAAATTACTGTACAAAGTGCCTTATTTGCATGAGGGAGAGGTAGTATCACTGACAAACGCAATGCATTTTCTGACTATAAATAAGCAAGACTCAAACATGTATTTGTTAATCTTGGAGTGCTCATACAGAATTCAGAATCTTTTCTAGCAGTTTTCATTAAATCACGTTCTCATTTTTAGTCTGAAGGTCATTTTCAAGTTTAAAAAATTGCTGAGGCAATAACTTGCTTTCTGTAGTGTTACGTGACCTGTCGAAGTGAGAAGACAACCCTAACACCCTTTGTCAAGTATTAAAACAAGTAAAAAACCGGAACTTGGTCCATTTTGGAATACGTAGTTCTGCTACAGAAGGCTTTAAACAAGGGATTCACTACTGCAGAGCTGAAACACAGAAAATCCCTTTTTCTAAAATGAAACCTTACTTGAGTAAGGAATCTAGGGCAACCCTCAAAGTGAAGATGCAAAGGGTTGCTTCTTGTTTTCTAAATACTAGATCTATAAATAGAATAACTTAGATAAATAAATAAATTAGATGGCTAATTTACAACTCAGCAGATCGCTCTTTCAGTAGTAGTGTGGGGTTGATATCTTCCATTGCTGTGTTTGAGGTACTAACATTAATAGTTGCCTCTGTGGGTTCAGGATTTAAGACATGGAAAGCAGTGAAAGGACAGCCTTTCACATTGTTGCAGATGAGCTTCTGTAAGGAGGCAGTATTGATTATTTCAAACCCCACTTTGCCACCAAAGGTGCTTGGCTTCCAGTACTCAGGGGAGCATATTGTATTTCCCATCAGTCCTTTCAGAGAGAACGGTGCACCAATTTCTACCATTGTTTCACCAAAGATGGCACCTGGTCTTGGCTTTTCTACAAGAAGGCCTGGATACAGTTCCATAGCATCTATGTCTCCATAAAGCTCTTCTAGTTCAGCAGCCATTTCTTTTTCTCCTGTAATTATTAATGAATAAGAACAGTAAGTGGAAAGTCCTGTTTCAACAGCAGCAATATCCTGCTAAAGTTCAGAAATAGCGCCGCAGGTTTCTATTACCCACTTTAAGGAAAAATGGAACTTGTTTATAAGGAAAGATTAAGAACTGTTACCTGTAAGTTCTTCAAATGATTTGAATGGTTTCAACATGAAGCGTTTCCTGTACTCATTCAAGGACTGGTATCTCATTTGTCTGCTTTGGTCAATTGAAGCCTTTGCTACTTTCTGTACTGCAGCTGGAACATTTTTCCCACCAGCAACCTATTTGACAGGAACAAAAAAAGAGTAGTAAGATCTCCAGATAAAAGTTGAGAAAGTTGTATCTTTATATTATTAGTTCTGGATAGATCTATTGCATTGTTGGTCAACCCCCAAGTTGATGTCTCTGTTTACTATTAACTTGAGGAAAATACCTACCCTGCCAGCACTTTGCTTGGAGAAAGATTTCACCATATGGGAAAGGCCATGTTCCAGCATTATGGAGTTGTTGTAGAGGAACTGCTGGAAAGTGTACTCCTGGTCATGTATCTGAAAAGTGTCAGGCAGAAGTGGGTGCCAGTGGTACAGAGTATTGAATTCAGCTGCAATTCGGTTCTGGTATTGAAAACGCTGGTTGAACAGAAGCTCAGGATCAAACTTCAGTTTGAAGTGGTAGCCACTCAAGTGCTGCACATAATCTTCAATAACTATCTTGATTGTTTCTCCTGTTGGAGAATAAAGAGGATACAGAAATCAATACTGCTTCCCTAAGAAACACCAGGCAGTTACCTTGCTCTGAGGACATATTTCTAAGCTTATCTAGGGGAACACATGAACACACAGAAGACCTACAAAAACTATAGAAATCAAGAATAATACACTCATTAGCATTCTGTAGTACCTTATGGAATGAAGATTTATATTTTGGGAGATAAGTTTTCCCCCCTACCACCTCCATAGCTTGCTCCACTCTGCTTATCCTCTCCCAGACTACACTTCTTTTGGTTTTCTACAAAATCTGTAGGAAGTCATTAATTACTGTCTACGTTGCATTTGATTATACAATGCTATCTAGGATAGGGGTAGGAGGAAAAGGAAGTCAGCATCTCAAGGCAATCTCTCAGCTTCTGAGCTGCTTAATGTAATTGCTTTCTCTTGGTTTACTGTTTCATTCAGTATTTAGGCACAGACTTTTTCCAACTGCATGCATCAAGATTAATAAGATGCAAGACCACTTAACAGAAAGTAAGATGTAAGAAACATGTACAGTTTCATTCTATGCCACTTCTGACTTAACTACAACCCATCTCAAAGCATACCTGAATTCACCCAGTCCCAGAAGAAAAAGAAATTGTCAGTTTAGGAGCAACTGAGGTCACCTAACCTCACAGGCTCTCTCTGAAAAACTAACCTTCCTGCTTTTTCAGTTCTGCTTTCCTGAGATAAAGGGAACTGTCTATCACTTGACTCCATTTTTTTCATTTTAGTATTTAATGCGGGCAGGAGGAAACTGTATTTTAATACAGTTTCCATGAGGGATCATGAAGGCTCTGATTTACTCCCTCACATATCAATTAAACAGTTCTTCCTCTTATTATATTGACTGCGGCTGCCATAGGAATGGACAGAAGTGTCAAGCTCAAGAGAATGTTAAGAGTTTCACATGCAAAAGTAACACACCTATCAATATGAGTCTTGTAGTCTGAAATAGCCGCTCATCATCCCACTCCGGATGCTCCTGTTTCAAGATGTCACAGACTCTGTTGTGTTCTCTCAGCCATATTGTTGCATACATCATTAGGCCTGGGACCAAGCCAAACACCTCCTGCCCAACAGAAAACTGCAGGTGCTCAGGAACATGAGGAGGGTAGATCATCTCTGCTTGAGTGTCCTTTACTGTTGGTGGATACATTTCTCCATCAATCATCTGCCAGGGAGGAGGCACAGGAGAAAGAACAAGAGAATTATAAGCTAAGATGCTTACAAGTTATACCAACTTTAGGCAAGCTATGCTGTGAACAGAGCACTAATTTTAAGAAACATGTCATCCAATAAAAAGGTGGCAGTTGAGATGTACCTGATACTTTAGTTTTCCATCCTTGCGAAGTCTTAATTTAAGTTGCCTCTCCAGAGTCTCTCCATAAATGTGGTTCAAGTCAACCTGTAAAATAAGAGCATTAAGAACGTGAAGACAAGCCACATTTTTTGCTATTTTAGGACAGGTCCTATTACTAATAGATGATCTGGCATCCACAGATGTTTACCTTTTGATTACAGTATTGTTACCTTATAAGTATCACACACTGATATTTAAGATGAAGCCAAATTATTTCCTGGCAACTGCAGCAATCTCTGCATTAAGTTTTTAAATCAGACTGGCAATTTAAGAGGACTCTGTTTAGAGTGTCAATGGCATTTTATTAAGCAGAGAGCTCTTTATATATACAAAGATGTTACAGATTCCTGCTTTAGACATGCAAACTATATTTATATTGAGAATTTCTTTATCCCAAACCTATTTTTTTGTAGATAAATATCTATAAGTCCAAATTTGCTTTTCAAGTTATTTTAAAACTATCTACTTAGCAGCACAAAATAAGATACCGTATAAAGCATCTCTGCAACTGATGGAAAGAGTCCAGAGTAGTTCTAAAAAACACTCATTACACCTAGCACACTTCAGGTAAAAGCAGATTCTTTGAAGAAATCACAGCCCTCACTGTACAGAGATTTTAAGCAGAATTACGTGCTTGGCACAAACAATTCTGACCTAAGAGATGCTACTGAGTTGCTGGAATTTTGCCTAAAGAGAAGCCATGTAAGGAGTAAAGCCAACAGTTGCTGTGTTGCACAGTATATGCACAGTGTTTGCATATTCTGACTACCTGTAACATATCATTCTAGCTAACTGCTTGGTAGCTCCTGAGAGCTTAGTGCTGCATTCAAGTTCCAAAGCTATGATCTTACCCCATGGCCATAAGCTTTGGTGAAGCCAGGCCCTTTCTTATGGTCTGTCTTAAAGAACTGATGAGTGAAGTGCTGGGCAAAGAATGTGAACATCACATTTGTGCCTTGTGGGTCAGGAATAAATTTTCTCCGCAGCAAGAATTTCTCCACAATCAGCTTTGAATCTGGGAGCTCTTTTTTACCTAGAAGAAAAATTTCCTTATAGCAAGATATTCATGACAATTATGCTTCATACTTATTTTTGCTCCTAAAAACCAAACAGGTTTCCTATTTTCAACTCTTTAACAAAGGACAGCAGCTTACTAACAAGGGGAACTATCAACTATCTTCTTTTTGTTGGTCATAGCTTTCCCATGCTTATGTTTTTGTGTTTATTAGAAGCTTTCTAATTCCTGGTTTTAGAACAGTTAATAATGAGTGCCAGAATGATTATCTTTTAGGTTCATTACACAATATAACTCATTCATTGCCATTCTCAAAGTCAACAGTGTATTAGGATGGTTGTAGACAAGCAGATCTCTTGGTGTTTTCTAGGACAAAAAGATAAATAAGATTCCTAGAAATGAACACTATGTATCTATTTTGTTCCTTACCTTTAACACCCATTGGTGTTGGACAGTCATGTCCTACTGGTGGAAGGCTTCTTGTGTAATAGGAAAGATTGGAATAAGCTTCCCAGGATTTGTAATTATAGTCACTGTTGTATGTTGGTGGGCTGTCAATCAAGTGGGATCTTGCTGGAAGAGGAAAAAAAAGATGTATTTCACATATATTAAAATGGAGATTAAGAAGTACAAGGAGTCACAGTGCTACATTGTTTCCATGTATTTTTGGCAGCAGTTGCATTCATAAGTTCCACACATATAATCCCATTTGACTCCAGTAACTTGTGGCTAATGAATAATCAGAACTGGTCCCAGTTTAGCAGTTGGATCCAGCTATTCTATAACAAATGATGCAGATTGTGTTAGCAAAACTGGAGATTCTATCTGAGATGAGGAAAAAAAAAAAAGCATGTCTGAAAGACTATTTCACACCAAGTGTGAATATGCTTATAGATCCTAAGTTTTCTTTAGAGTGCTTTTACCATAACACATTTTATTTTGCTATTTTATCAATAAACTAACCAAATAAAGTATTTGGAGCCCTACGTGTAGCTCCTGTCAATTAGGAGTACTGGAAGAGTGAATGTATACTTACACGTCAACACGTATCTCATAATAGTATCTCGTAAGAAGGAAATGTTGTTGATGATGTTCCAGACTCCTTTGAAGTGGGTGAGAATGTAGTGGACAGTATTTGGTGTAGGTTTCAATGTTAATTTCAGCCACGTGAAGAATTCCGCTGTGAGCAAAGATGGAAAGATTGTAAGTTGCCATTCAGAATAACCTGCAATTCTGTAATTGAGTTCTCAGGCTCCGTTTCCGTGCAAAGAGATCAGAGGTACTTACGTGTCGTACAGTTTTCCCCATAATAGCCTGTCCTCGTGCAGTCGCATTCATACCGATCAAATCCTGTTGTCATGCACACACCTCTGTTCTGACACGGGAGGGAGCAGCAAGGGTTGGCTGGAAATGAAATCAAACGCTGCAGTTAGAAGAGCGCCTTCTCTACTGGATCAGCATCACAGGGCGGGCAGCAGAACGAGTTCCACCCGCACGAGAATTCGGGCAGCTCCCGGCAACATCGGCGACACAAGCGGGGAAGCGCACTGTTTGCGGGCTGCAACGAACCAGCTCCGAACGCTGGCTCAGAGGGGGTCCGTCAGCCCTCCTGCTACGCTAACTTCGGTGTCACGAAGTAAAACAGAAGCCCTACGCTCCGGCTGCGAGCATCGCCGCGGGCCCGGCCCGCCGCCGCCTGTCCGGGAGCTCCCCGCACCGCGGCCGTGCGGCACCGCGCAGCACCGGGGCGCAGCGCCGGGACGCAGAGCCGGAACCCCCGGGGCCAGCCGCCCATCGCGCCCCACACTCACCTGCGTGGCCGGCAGCCAGGAGAGCGGCCAGCAGCGCACAAGGCACGAGCATATCCCGGCGGGCTTCTTTACGCTTTCCTCGCAGCTACCGAAATCCCAAGGACGCTCGAAATCGCACAAATCGTACTGCAGCTAGGTACTCACCCTCATTTATACATCCCGCCGTGAGTCACCTCCCCCCCCCCGGCCCGGAAACTAATGAAAGATTGGGGGATTTTGTTGCCTTGCTCCGCCCCGTCCCGCTCCTTGCTCCTTGCTCCCACCTGCTGGGGGCGCCCCCGGGCGCGGGCCGTGCTTCGTTCGTCTCGGTCCGGTCTGATGCGGTCCGGGCGCGGCGCGGCGCGGTACGTGAGGGGGCGGTGGGGGAGGGCGCCGAGCTCGGGGCGGGGGAGCGCAGCACCGCGGGGCACCGCGCAGCACCGCGGGATGCCTCTGAGCGCGCGGAGCGGGCAGCCACGGGATCGTGTGCGCCGGGCTCCTTCCGCCAGATGCTGCTGACCCCCCGCTGACCCAGCCTTGGTTGGATCGTTGGCTATTAATGAGGTCATCTCGGCAATTTCGTTTAGTGAAGCGCGCTTCCTCACGCGCGGAGCAGAGCCCGTCGCACAGCGTGGTGCTGCAGACGGATGCTACGGGGGGAGACGGGTCTTTGGGGCGTGCTTGGTTTGATTTTTGCACGTTTGCCAATCCCGTTATTAGGTGTCTTACCTCAAAACGAGCAACGCTGCTTTTTTTCTTGCCTTCGCCTTAAAGTGCCCCTGCTGCTGCTGAGCACGGTCACGTTGTAAACAAAATCTTAGCTCATTTCCTCCCAGCAGCACGCAGACGGGATGCTTTTTGTCACAGATTTCTAACCGGCACACGTTACCTCTATTTTTACTCTTTGTTGCGCACGGAAGGTTACGAAACAACAGGACGTTGCCGAGTTGTGTAAGGGCCGCGCGGTGCTGGGCCCACCGCTGCCTCCCCCGCCGCCTGCACGCTCCGGGAGCAGAGAGCCACGGTCGGGTCTGTAACGACACGCCTCGAGATTTGAGGTGATGGTGTTTACATTGCGAATCGTTGCCTTGAAAAGGGATTTAGTCCGATTTAAACAAAATCTTATTTTTGGCTCTGAAGAAACACTCTGTGGTTGAGTGAATAATTTGTGCGCATCGGTAATAGGTCATCCGAGATGTTTTAGAGAGCGGTGCACAAAGGTCTGTCATTGCGTGATTCTTCTGCAGTAGCACAAGGCACATCTTCTCATTTTATGCTCACACACACAGAGGTATGTGTAGGTGTCAGTGGCCCTACAAAGCACTGCTAGCCTCGGCCGCACATCTGGAGCACACGTGGTGTCGGGAGCCTGTCCCTGCATGCACTGCTGCATGCTGTGCCTTTGTGCAGGTTGTTCAGCCCTCCATGGTGTGAAACAGGGAGCCTGGCTCCTGCGTTATGAGCTCAACGACCAGTCATGAAACACAAGTGGTGTTGGAATCACAGAAATCACAAGGTTGGAAAGGACGACAAGATCATCTAGTCCAACCATCCTCCCATCACCATTGCTACCACAAGCACTAAACCAGATCTCGCAGCTCCTCATCCAGGTGCCTCTTGAACACTGCCAGGGATGTCGACTCCACCACCTCCCTGTGCAGCCATTCCAGTGCCTGACCACTCTGAGAGAAAAAGTTCTTCCTTATGTCTGATCTAAACCTCTTCTGGTACAGTGGCCATTTCCTTGGGCCCTGTTTGTTGCTTGGGAGAAGAAGCCAAACCCCTCCTCTCACAACCTCCCTTCAGGAAGTTGTATGGTGTAGTGTTCCATGGGTATAGAGAGGGACATCCCCTACACACGGCACCATGGATTGAGGTCTAGCCTTGCAGGTTTTGCATTTCCATTTCACACCGTTCCTATTCTGTCTCACAGAGCGGTGATGGATGTTGGGCACTAAGACCTCACTGAAAACATCAGACAAGCGAGGTGTTACTCTTTAATAAGATGTGTGGGAATTGGTAAATGCAGAAGGTATTTCTGAGATGTAGAAGCAACAGTGCTAAAGGGAAAACTGAATGAGTTGCATAGTAGAGAATTATCTTTGAAATGATTAAACCTTGCTTGGGTACCATGTAGATATGGGAAATGTATTAGTAAAAGTTTTGAGTTATAAAAACAGACGTTATACATCTTGAGCAACAGAGCAGAACTTGTCTGCTGAGAGTGAGGGGATGCTGCTGCTGGCACCACGCCGTACCTGCTCCAGGCAGGGTGTGTGGTGAAACGTGAGCTCTCTTCAGTCTGCTTTATGCTGGGAAGGGGCATTTATGCAGTGAATGGCTGTGCTGGAGCTGGAGGCATCCATCGCCTGCTCTGGCGGGTTGAAGCAGGATGATGGAAAATCAGGCAGGTCGGGTATGGTTGTTTTTCCAAGGGGTGCCCTTCACCCTCACGTGTTGTTTTGAAATTGCTTGTAATCAAGATCTGATCATATTTTTGAAGGAGATTTTTTCTTATGAATAAACTGTTTTTGCTGTGGCAGCATTCAACACCAGGTGTAGAGTCTTTGCATCAACTAACAAGTTCATTATTTATTTAACATATGAAGTGTCCATGAAAAAAATCACCATTACTTTTACTTCTCCAGTGATCGTTTCAAATATCCTTTGCTCTAGATGAAGGAGTGTGTGGAACAGAGTAGCTTCCTCTACCTGAACATTTTCACTTTGAAATTTCTGAAGATGGTGATTCCCGTATGTTTCCCTTATGTCCTGTTTCTGTTCCAGGTAGTTCTGTCTAGAGCATCTGCCGGATTCACAGTTCTTTACTGAGGCCAGCTTGCTGGCTCCTGATGGCTGAGTTTCAGGAAAGCACTAGGAGAAAATTCAGCAATCTGGCATGCCTCAGTAATGCCCCTGAGGGACACAATGGACATCCTTATCCTTCTGCATTACCCACCACGTGCACCCAGGTCTCTGAGCAAAAGCAGTCCCACAGATAAGCTTGCCTTTGTCTGAAATCCTGAAAACTTAGGCAAATTGTGTTGTTCTGATAAGAATGATGATGTTCCTGAGATGGCGTGTTTGTGGCGGGGAGATGGAAGTTTTGCAAAGTGGGAATGTTTGTCCATCATTCATCTTCCTTGCAAGGTGTGTACAGTGTTTAAGCATAGCTTTCAAAGCCACCATTTTTTATTTTAATTTTATTATATATATTTTTTAACAAATGCAGTTTTTCGTCTCCTGATTATCTTCATTCATTCATTTTATCTGTAGCCATGGCTTGGAGGGAAAAATTAGGAAAAGCTTCATTTGTCATTGGGAGTGTTTATACCCCTGAAATTTGTCTCTGCACTCTGATATGTTTGTTAACGACACATGGAAATTAAATGATAGTTCTATATACATAGTGGAATATAAAGTAACATAGATTTCCTCCATATTAGTAGGCAGAACCCCACCTGGCCTGTTTATGACAGCTCTGCTTAAAGAAGCAGAAAGTGTCTGAATCAAGGAATATCCTAGGTTGGAGGGGACCCATAGACATCACTGAGTCCAACTCCTGGTTCCACACAGGACTACCCAAAATCTGAACCCTATGCCTGAGAATGTTGTCTTAGTGCCCCCTGAGCTCCAGCAGCTGTAGGCTGTGCCCACTGCCCTGGGCAGCCTGCTCCATGCCCAACCACTGCTACAGACTCTTTCCCTAACCCTCCACCAGCCCCTCCCCAATTGCTCCATGCCTCCAGGCCCTGCTGCTGTGACAGAGAGCAGAGCTCAGAGCAACCCTTCTGCTCCCCATCATGAGAAAGCCATAGGCCACCATGGGGCCTCCCCTCAGCCTCATCTTCTCTGGGTTGAACAAACCGAGGGACCTCAGCCACACTTCGCATCTCTTTCCCTCCGGACCCTTTATCATCTCTGTAGCCCTCCTTTGGACACATTCAGACAGTTCTATTCCTTTTTGTACTGTGGTGCCCACAACTTCACGGTGCAATGTAGACAGTCACTTCCCTTGGCCAGTTTGCAACACTGGAGTGCTTGATGCACTCCAGGATACAGTTGGCCTTCCTGGCTGCCCGGGCACAATGCTGACTCATGTTCAATTTGCTGTTGAGCAGGTCCCTTTCAGTGGGGCTGCTGTCCAGCATCACTCCCCAGTACAGATAGCCAGGAAATGCAGAAGGGTTCACTGAATGTTACTGCCCCCTTCTGCTGGATGTTTTTTTTCTATTGTATAGCATGATGAATGATGATATTCATATCATCAAGATGTTTTGGGTTTTTTTGCCATTTAGATGGATGGCACTTTTTTTTCAAGGTGAGCTCTAATAAGTCACTCATTCACGAAACAAGCCACATAGTGTTCTGTTTTGTAACTGAACTCCATAAGATGAAGTTGTTGTTAGATTCTTAAACAAAAATGTATATGTACATGTTAAGTAACTTCACTGTAAATGCATAATTAGAATTTTTGCTCTTGCAAGATTTCAAACTGTAACTATTCAAAGTGGAATTGAAGAAATGCTTGAGGTAGCAGACTATATTGTTATGCCAAAAAACGCTGCCTTTCTTGTAGGCAAGAATCCCATCCTGGGATGGCACGGCTCCTGGGGCTGCCACGCTGAGCTGGGTGCTGTGTGTCAGAGGGATGAGAACTGAAAGCTGTGATGTATGATTTGCTGGAAAAAAAGAGAAGTGGTAAACATCAAGTGTTTATAATATTGCCACTTAATGATCATAAATCACCTTTCTTACTTGGTTAAGAATCAAGTATTAAGAATAGCTTCTGAATGCCTTTTTCCTTTTCTTATTGTTTTCTACCTGCCCTCTCCTTCCATATGGTCAAGAAGTTAAGCTTTAAAAGGAGAAAGGTGAGTTTATTCTTATTTTGCATCATACGGGGTGAAAATGACAAAAGGTAATCTGCCTCTAAGTTACAGACCTATTAAACTTTTAATTGTAGTGAGTGGAAGGATCTTGTGCATCTAAAAGAGTCCCTGGGAAAATTGCTTTTGCAGGTAAAAAAAATACTCCAAAACCTGATTCTTTTCTTTGAGCTGTATGCTGTTGAGTAGAAGTAAAATAGAGCATGAGAAGCTGTGATTTAGACGTCTGCCATGTTCACCTGTGTGGTGGGTTTTCTTGTTGCTCCA